ATATGCTTCCAACCTTCAGCTACTTAAATTCTGAAAATATTGAAGATAGAAGCAAATATAGAATTCTAAGTATGTGTGCGATAGATAAGCGTGGTGGCACAAAGCCATATATTAAATTGGGTTTACTAGATGTGAGTTATCTACTTCACTCTAGCCTCTGTAAGTTAAATACTTTGGTGAAATTTGATGTTTTGAATTTGTTTGACACCATAGAAGATGAGTAGTATATATGTGGCTATGTGCTATTTGGGGGAAAAGGAAAACTTACTGCCAGTGATCTTTACCATTTAATCATCTTTCTAACAAACTTGTTTTTCTAGTCTTACAGAGGTATTCTTTATGATATACAGAGGAATTGGTGAGTCCTCCTAAGTGGATGCTTCTCTTATTCATGTTGAATGGATCCTAGTCCTTGTGTCCTATTCTATTGGATTATTTCATTTTTCATTAAAAAAAAAAAAGAGAGAATGGTTGAGAAGTTGCAACCAATAATGATTGCTTATGTCTGTTATGTAGTGAATGTTATTTGTTTAACTACAAATGTGTCCTTGTAATGTTTTGCCATGATTTCTTGTCATCTCTTCATTGTGCACCACTTTCTCTGTTTGACTTGGACTTGGCTTATATTTTCAGCCTTCTATAACGACAAATGAAATTGATAAAGCAGTGCAACAGATGATAATTGATGCTGGTGCTTATCCCTCACCCCTTGGATATGGTGGATTTCCAAAAAGTGTGTGCACATCTGTTAATGAGTGCATGTGCCATGGAATACCTGATTCCCGGCAGTTACAGGTTTTGCAAGCCTTAATTTCCCTTTTGGCCTCATCCTTAGCATGCATATGATTCATAACTAATTTCAGTTTTCATTATTTGCAGAACGGTGACATTATTAACATTGATGTGACGGTCTATCTGAATGTAAGCTTCTCAGTTTTTATGAGAATTTAGTCAGCATTACTTGAACCCTCAACCTGATTTAAAACAGCTCATTTGTTGACAGTCCTAGCACTTAATGTGGCTTCTTTTTAGTGTTTAGCTCAGTAGTTAAGGAACATTTAAGGAGTCTGTCTCATGCATGTGAAATGGAATTGTAGGGTTTTATTATATGATGCGACGTACTACTATAATAGTTGTTTGAAACTTCGGGCCTGTCTATTGGGTACCATGCTGATTGCAAGATTGCAAATATTCTCTCCTTTTCTTCTTACTCTGAGGTAGATTAAATTCATAAAATACTAAAATAACGCACTTAATTGTATAAGCTGAATGTCTTTCATGGTCTTATGATATAAGCATGCTATTTTTAGTGACCAAATTATCTGATGCGATATTTATTGCGTGTTAGGGATATCATGGAGACACATCAAAGACATTTTTCTGCGGGGATGTAAGTGATGCTATGAGAAAGCTTGTTAAGGTAAGTGTTTGTCAGCTGACGTATGTTGCATTAAGTGGTATCTTATGCAAAGATTTAGGTTATGCATTGACCACACTATTTTGTCCTATGTCGATAGGTAACTGAAGAGTGCATGGAAAGGGGAATAGCTGTTTGCAAGGATGGTGCTCCTTTTAGAAAAATTGGGAAGAGAATCAGGTACATTTGTAGGGTCATTATAAAGACAAACCTACAATGTTCTATATTCGTGAAATTGCCAGCATTTATCTTGCATTGCTTGTGAAATATGTTTCCCATTTATTATTGAAGAACAATGTTGTTTGCCAAGAGAGAGAACCTGTTAACATGACATGTATGGCAATGTGTTCCTTCTCCAATGAGAATTAAGAATAGATAAAGACACTAATTAAACTTCCTGGAGCCATCTTTAATAACACCAAATTCTATTCTGAAGCATTTACCAAGTCCATTACGGACTAGATATGGGGTTGGAGGATAACTAATAGAGGATAACTAAATAAGGCTTTAATAAAATCTATTCCTAATGGAACAGAAATAGCCAGCGGACTAATCTCGAAAATAAAAATACAATGGCACATGAGAACAGAAGATTCTAAAGAAGGCTCTTTGAAGCTACCATTGCCTGCCATCCAGCGCACCTACAGTAGCGCATGTGACACTAGCACCTGCGTAGCTTCTCTCTGCTGTATATCTAGCAGTGAGATGTGTTTCTTTGATCAACTATACAGTTGATTTTTTTTGGGTCATATTTTGAGCTTTTTCCTTACTTTTGAAACATTTCTCAGTGAGCATGCTGAAAAGTATGGCTATGGTGTAGTGGAGCGTTTTGTTGGTCACGGTGTGGGAACGGTTTTTCATTCTGAGCCAATAATTTTTCATCATCGTAAGTGAACTATCATCTGTATCATATTTTTCTCCTGTTGCTTTTACTCTCTTGCAATGGTAGCCTGCCTAACAAACAAATCCTGTTAACTTGCACGTTTGTATCTTGTTTTTCCTACGATTTATGCTAATAACTCTGGTATTCTTAAATTTTTAATAAAGTGTGCTATGAGGGCCTTGGTTATTGGTAAAGCTAATTTGCAACATTTAAGTCGGAAAATCATTTCATTTTCAACATTGATGGGGTCTGATCTTTCCATAGAAAAATTTCTGCTGATCAGTAAAGTTGAAAGGCTGGTAAATTAGCATTTGGCTTGTATTTTAGTAATTGACTTATTTTTTATTTTCTAAGAAATGATATAATCTACAAAAGGACCAAAAACAGCATTTAATATGGCATCCCGTCTGTGTTCTAAAAACTATCTGTCTTAGTTACTAATCTATTATTTTTTAAGGAACTTATATTTTTATTTCATTGCTTGACAGGTAATGACAAGCCTGGGTGTATGGTTGAAGGTCAAACATTTACCATAGGTAAGTCTATGATTATTTTTACCTAGAAACTGAAGTAATCATCTCTAACCGAAGTTATTCCTTTGGTATTGCTCTAATTTATTTCTTAACTATCCTTTCCTTTTAGACCAGTGGTTTTGTTGGGGTTGAGTGATGGCTCTTGTATAGTGTTTTAGATGATGAGTGGGGACTCTGGGCAGGGAATATTTTTTTGTTGAGATTTTCCCCAATATCTGCTCTCTCATTCTTTTCCAGTTCATAGGTAGACCACCAGCGGGAGGGTTCATTCCAGAAACAGAAATGAGGGCTGTTATGGGACAATGGGTTGTTTGGGGCAGTATGCCTTGGACGAATAACAACAGACTGGGGATGGAAATAGTAAAGGATGATTGTATGTGCTGTGAGTGTTCATGTTCACCCCAAACGTAAGTTAGTTGAAAGAGAACAAGTTAGGCAGAATTTCAGTATCTCAAAGAGGTCTTGAATCTTGATTCTCTGGAGGTAGGAGGTTTTTCTTTCTGGTTCTATTCGTTTTTCTTAAGATGCAAACTTCGAATAATGGAGTCATGGCCAAAAACAAAAATAATGAAACAATCGAATGATGGAGCTTAGCTTGGCCATGACATGGAATGTCAAAAATTGTATAAAACTCAACTCTGCTTACCCTATCACTGGAAAGAATGCTTAGCATTAGCACTACTATCTCAAAGCATGTAAGCTGATGAAGACGGGGGCCACAATATGAGAGCAGATACCGCAACACAATAAAATTAAAACCCTTCGCATGCATGCCTCTTGAAATGTCGAATGCCTAATTTTTTAGTGCGCATTAATCCCACTTTTATTCCTTGCTGCCATTTCTGCAGGGGTTCTTTCTTTTTTTCTTATAATTCAATCATCAGAACATTATAGTTATAACTAACTTGACTCCCAAGCATTAGACAGAATCTGAGAAATAAGTTGTTTTATTAACCATTTGTTAATAGTATGTTTTGCTGTAGATTTTAAATATTTTATATTGATCATGATATTGATTCAATGCTATGTCTCTCTATACCTTTCTTATATTTCCATGCACATCTTCTGATTCATGTTCAATTTCTTCATCATCAAGCTCTACACCATAATTTCTGTCATGGTATTTGGTGATCTTTGTCACCTCTTTCCTCACATCCCTTGTGTCATAGCTAGAAATGAGAATCTCAAGCTAACTGATTTGAGACTTCAGTATGAAAGCTTTAAATTCTCAATGGTTTGAATCCTTGTTAGAAGAAGCGATCTCTTGCATATAACGTAGGCATGATAACAAGACACAGGTTGCTTTCTTAACGTATTGAACGAGTTGGGCAGTGCTTGAGTCTCTCATTGTTGCCTCTCAAATTGTCTTAACGTATTGAACGAGTTGGGCAGTGCTTGAATCTCTCATTGTTGCCTCTCAAATTGTCCCTCCACCGCAGAACCTATCCTTACGATGGGAAGCATCGAGTGCATTACATGGCCAGACAATTGGACAACAGTGACTGCTGATGGGAGTCCAGCGGCTCAGTTTGAGCACACAATTTTGATCACTAGGACTGGAGCAGAAATTTTGACTACCTGTTAAATTCTGACAAGATCATGTGATTTTGAATGCTACGTGGGTCATTAATTAATTGTAAATAACTTGCCTCCTTTCTTCCGGTTCTGGTGAGAGCTATATAGGAAGGCTAGGCCAGACCCATGGAGATAGAGACACCACAGAGTAGTGAGTACCATCTTCTCTTGTGCATATGTATACGTATAGATTCATTCAATGTATGAATATTATTGTCTCTGTCAAAAACACAGAGATATCTGAGATGTGATTTTTTAGTTTTACATTTATTGTGTCAGCAAATGCATGAGTTTGCTGCTGCTAAACAGTGGAAACTTGCAATAATGCATTTTGGAGGGTTGCTGATCCTATTTGAGTAGCTCTGCAGAATAGACCTGCGCTGCAGATTATGATGCAGTGGTCAACACATAAATTCTGTTTATGTTGCAAGCTGAGGTCTCATGCACAACACTGGATTTTTAACTCATGCTGGAGATGATAATTTAAGCATTTATGTACTTGCACTTTTTGTATGCAGATTTTGTTAAAACATGTGATGATCTTTGAAAAAGAAAAGAAGAAAAGCTTAATGCAACTCAATAAATATATGAAAGAAAATTGAGAAAGAATGCCCGCAACGCTTTATTCATGCCTTATGAATATTTTCATCCTGTAAATTTTGTATTTAAATATATGGATATTGATTTCAGCTTCACATGTGAATTTTATACAAAATTATTTTACAATGAAAAAAAGTAGGATGGGAAGAATGAAATCATTATTTGCCTCGATGAGAAGACATTGATATCAAATCGAGAACTTTTGTTTCATGTCTTAATTTTATTTTCGTAATTTCCCTTCCTTATGTTTTGTAAATCAAATGTCAAAAATTTTATTTTATTTTATCAGAATGTCAAGTTTCTATCACGTGGACAAATTTATGCATTTTCAAAGTGATATAAAATTGGATATAAATCATATTTTATCAGTTGACATAAAATGTTACTGTTTATATTGGTTGGAAAATTATTTTCCCCAGCAAAAAGAAATTATATATCAAATTTAGACAACATTTGTGCATGCGCATTAAAAGGGATTACTTCTAGGGGAAAATATTCTAAAAGATCGAATTTTTTTAAATGTTGAATGATTGAGTTTTTGAAATTATTTTAAAGGGGTAAGGTCATTTTTTGAAAATAAATAAATAAATAAATTATGATCACCAAAGTATCCTTATTATCTGGATTATAGTTTTGATTTAGTTGTAACTTGTAGTGGTAAATTCTCATATTAAAATTGTAAATTTGTATTCATTGATTCTTAAATATTCATAGTTAAACACATAATTCACGTTCTTTATGTGTATTTAGTACTTAAAGAATTCAAATTTACAATCCCTATTACAAGAATTTACAATTCAGAGTTACAAATTTAATATTTTTTTTAGGTAGATATGGACCATGTCCTTCAAAGTACCAATGGGGATTAAGTCTAGCGGAAAGGGCTAGTCTCTCACAACGTGACGAACCAATGTTCGAATCCTGTACCCACATTTAGTATCCGACAGTGCCTCGAATAGGATTGCCTCCAATAGGAGGATACCTATGCTTTAGCAAAAAACAAATAACATTTTATTTCGTCTATAATTTCCCCTATATACTTCCAGTCTTGAGCCACTATCCAATATTTGATAATTGGTTGTGTGTATGTTAATTTTTTGTATAGTTTTGAAAGTTTGGATAAATTGAGTAATAATAGCATTCTAATCGCATCGATCCAATAATCATTTGCAAAATCATTTATACATATTTACTAATAGAATTATCATCTTAATATGATTTTCGAAGAGTTTTGCAACTCCTTACAATTAATCACTTAAAAAAAGTGCTTTTATGCAAATCAAAACAAAATTTTTCTCATATGTTCATCTTGTATACCGTAAAATTACTTTTAAATATTTCTACAAGTGTTCTTTTAAGCCTTACGATCACCCGATCAAGTTTTCAAATCTATATAAAATTCTAATTAGCCAAATTAAATGTTAAAAACTCACGTACGTCTTTCATTTTATGAACAATAGTACCACCATGACATAATTACGACACTGGTTTGCTGCTGCAGCAACTGAAAAACAACACACTTTCGGTATCACGCGAGGCGATCCAAAGCAAAAAGAAGAGCATAATCAATTATTTTAATTAATCAGATACATAACTTTTTGCATTGCAAAAGTCCTTTTATCTGCAACCAAAAAAAAAAAAAAGTACCTGAGATTCAAAAGCTCGCCGGATAGCAAAGTGGTGGGATCATATAATCTCTTGAACAGATATATATATTTGCGAGGAGAGGACAGTTTAAGTTGAGAAGCTCTGTGAAAGAGTGTACATACATACTCAGAAAACAATTGTAGTAATCATAATAGGGCTACGGGTATTTTTGTCCTAAAAATATTAGCAAGGAGTCATGAGTATTTGAAAATTTTAATGAATTAATATTGGGAGAATTACAATGAGTCCTAATTAAGAAAAATAATTAAAAAACAAGTTTTACAGGTTGTCATTCTCACTATAAGACTTGTTATAATAGGTTGTTGAGGTTGTTATTGGGACCTTTGGGTAATTATTTTTCTTCTGTGGGACTTGGTTATAATTTCCCCATTAATGTTACTCCGGAACTGTTAAAAAGGTAGTCATGTTACTTTTCACGTTAAAAATATTGATGATCAATGTTAATTTTATTAATATTTAATACAATATCGCTTCATTTTTAATGTACTTCGTGAATACTTTTAAGATAAAAACAATTATTAAAACAAATCACTTTATTCAAATGTCTTGGTACTTAGAAAAAGATTGATCAACGATATTGCTGCAGTTATGCCCAATCAACACAAAAACTTGTCAGTCATCTATGAAAAAACAAAATTTATTTGTTGGTTGCATTGTACCATAAGATACAAAATCTTGTTTGTTAATATATGAGACTGACAAGTTTTTCGTAATGTAATGTATGCCAATTTTATAGGCATAGCTTTTGAGGACTTTACGTACAGATATTGCAGTACGACTACATGTTGTGATGATGCACACATTTCAGAATGGCGTATGATCATTAATTAGTTTGTGACCTAATTTTATCTTTATTCACATCCATCACAAGCTAATTAATTACCATCTTTCTCAATATAAGAATTAGGTAATTAATTTTAAAATATTTTAAAAAATTATTTAAGTTAATTATTTGTCATAAATAGATATTGATCTTTTTAAATTATCATCCTCAATTATGAGTATTTAGTAATTAGAATTATCTCTTGATAGGAACTTCTTATAATTAATAGGGATATTTTAAAAATTAAAAAAACAAATTAATGTGAATTAAGGTATATTTGAGATTAAATTTAACTCTCAATTAGCTTTTATATTAACCACAGGAGATATTATTTTTGTGATCTCATGTTTATTGATATTGTAGATTCTCATTTTGGGGTCTATCGACTCCATTATTGCGTTGTTATTTGGACTTTGAATAGCTATTCCATTTAACTAGCTGCAGTATTTGCGTGGCACGAAATCTGCTCTTATAAATGAATTTTATTGTACTACTTCTCATCTTTAATACTACCTCTGATTCTATTTATGAGAGCCAGTTGACTAATTTGAGAATATTAAGGAAAGAAGTTAAAGTTAATTATTTATAATAAATAAATGTTGTCATTCCTAAAATATTATTATTAATCAAGTGTACTGACTAGAACTATTATTGTTAGAAGGACTGTCTTGAAAAAAAAAAATATAAATATGAGAGACAAAGTGAACTATGGTCTTATATTTAGGACCAAAATAAAAGTCAAATAAGGTCTTATATTAAGGACAGGAGGTAGTATAAGGACTAGTTTGAAATTTAATTTAGTTCTAAATGTAAAATCTGAATCCACTTTGTTTTCAATATTAATTTATTTGGCCCTTAAGTAATCGTAGTTCAGGTACTACAGATTAAAAAAGCTATTTTAGTTAGTTATTTGTAATAAGTAAATGTTATCCTTCCTAAAATATTCTTATTAATTATGTGTATTTGAATTATCTATTGATAGTAATTTATTAATATATGTAACTACTATATGAATTAATCATGTGTGTCTAAATTATGCTAATAGTAATTCCTTAATTATTTATAGCCTATTTTTCAAAAACATATATCAAGGCAATAAGGTGGGACACCACGTGATGTGAGAATCTCAAAAAATGCAAACCGTTAACTGTGATATAATACAAACATTGTGTAGGACAAAATACTTTTTGAGTGTATATGTAGACTTTAAATTTGAAGATGCCACTTTATATATAAGTTGAACAATAATATAGAGTATATAAAATGAATTTCAAAATACATAAAAATTTTCGTTATTTAAGCTAAGTGCAGTGCTTCGAATACAGAGCTAAAGATCCACAAGAGAGAAAAGGAAGTGGAATTGCTATATATATCTAACATAAAATTAGGTTCATGGTTTGCTATAGCTTGAGAGAAAGTGAGCCTCAGAGTAAAGATAAGGTTGATGCCATATGACTTAGAAATCACAAGTTCAAATCGTAAAAACAGCCTCTCATTGACAAAGATAAAGCTTCGTATATCTGTGCTCAGACTCCACCTGGTGAGAGCCTTTCGCAATGAACTTTCTAAATATAGGTTAAGGATAAAGCATGGGGCCATGAACAATGAAAACAAAGGAAGATCAATGCAGGGGCATTATTAAGAACAAGCATTATTCATGATAAGTGGCACTACATTCATAAATGATAATGTTGTGGACAATTGGTGCAGCTAATTACATGTGTGTGCTTAGGTTAAAAAAAATACATATTTCAGTTTTTGTTTAAAGACAGTATTTTATTATATATATTTAGCAATTTGGATATGGTCGTTTAATGAGAATAATTTAAAAATAAAATTTCAATTGAGAGTACAAAGGATTGAACCATTAAAAATATGGGGAAATATCTAAGGACTTGAATATTAAAAAATTTAAGTTAAAATATCTTTAAAACCACAATTATTTTCAAATATTAAAGTCATTAAATATTAATTAGGGAATTCATTATTAAATTAAGGATTTCTAGTTCTATATTTGAAAATTTTGCTACTAATTACGTACTCAAAATGGTAATTTCCTTAAAATCCAATTATATCATTTTTTTTTTCTTTTCAAATATAGCAGTAAATTCCTTAGAAATTTACGCAAACTTTATTCTTTAAAGTAGCTAGAGTGCAACATGTACATTTGCTTGGAGCCTAAAATAAGTTGCGTTACGTTATTTATGGCTCTTGTACATTACCTTTCTACAGTTTTGATATGTAATGTTAATAATTCTAATCCCAAATAT